ATGGACTGACATCAGTTAAAGGAACATTGGAAATTTGTAAGCACTGGACAGCTGTTTCGTTTTAGTGTGGGACTCCTCAGCAGTGCGCACCCATGACTCCGCACCCCCCTAGGCATCGGAATTCAATGGTCCATATTTCTCAACGATGACATTGGGTGAGGGCCGCGTTATGTCGTGAACTGGCAGAAGTTGGAAATAAGAACCCAGTGGCTCAATGATAACATGCTGGCCACGGGACCTGAAGGTTTGGGTTCGATGCCTGGGTGTACGCACTGCTGAAGAGTCCCATGGCAGGACGAAACAGCTATCCATTGCTCTCAGGTTTCCAATGTTTCCATAACTGATGTCAGTCCATGATGAATGCCAACTGGAAATAATGGTTAAATCTGAAAAGCAAACTTATTGAAATCTCAAGTTTAACATAGCTGTATAGGTTTGTAAACTAATGGCTTTCCGAGACCGTTAGTTCTCCAATATGAGGCTTGGAAATATGACGATGATAATAAAGATAAAGAGACAAAACCAACGTGGAACCTAGCGCATAAATGTATCGGTTCAAATTTCTAGACTACACAGCAGGACTCAAGGAAGAAGTGGATATAAATGGAGTAATATTAAGGTGTTTGGAAGGAGAAGGAATTTAAAAATGAAAGTTGTTAAAGATGTTCAAACTTTAGAAGACATCAAAGAATGCATAAATCTGTGCCATTTTGACTGATTGCGAGCTATGCCATCAATGTTCTCCAACCATTGAGATTTAGTACCTCAAGGACTCCAACTAAGGAGTCTATATGTCCCTACACGACTCGGACTATTAGTCCAAGACCTCATAAACTAACGCCACATCTTGATCTGGCTATCCTGAGGCTTCTTGCAATCTAATCCTAGTTTAGCTAACTTTTGACGTCGATGTAGGTGGTGAACGTTCACAAGCTCATTGAATGTTTTACCTTCCTTATCTACTACCCTCTGCCTAACCTCGACATTTCTCGCATTTGTGAAGAGTGCTACGAATACACTTGTTTTCAAAAACGCGTAATCTTTATATATAGTCTTTTCACAACAAACAAGTCTCACAACCGTACAGTAGGGTAAAGTGGATTGCCGATGATTATTAAGTAACAGTCATACAGCATAGCTTGTATGAGCTACTCTTAATACTACTGTAGTGGGCGTTACTAATAAGAATGGATATAAGTAGTATATGTTGAGAGGGTGGCAGGAATCATAGGGAATTACCAACAATGGGTAAGGATTCTGCCAAGAGCAACTCAAGGGATAACACAGGCGTATTACAGTGGATGCTACTGATAAGAATGTATGAAGAGCAAATCAAGAGAGAAACAGAAGCCGAAACGAAGACATTTGCAAATGACTGGGTTAATACAAGGTGTAACATATGTAACGACTACCGTTCCAATTATCAATAATCAACATTCTTTCCGTCGTATCTGTCTTCTGTCTCTTCACTACTACTATCTCACGCATCCCGTCTTCCTATTGCCCTCAACTCAGATTAGAATGCTACGTTAGCAGCTAAAGAACATAGTGTCAAGCTGACTATATATTTGTCCGGTAATATTATTGCCATTCCTGTAGAAAAGGTTAAAATTAATGGATAGGTTGTATTTCGGTGTGTATTCTCTTTGTGGAAACTTTATTTTTATCGACGTATCAGTAATATCTCAACCAATTCTATTTAGCTATTTCTTAGTCTGTAAGATTTAATATTGTCAAAGATGTGTACATTGTTTTTTTCTTTCTTCGCCTTGTGTATATTGAGCTTCAAGTAGTAACAGGTATAAATCAGTGCATGTAGTTGCGAACAGTAAGATACTATGATCATTAGGGTATGTATATTGTGCACATACAGTCATAGGTTACCTGTACATATCATGACATTTGAACAGAAGAGTAATACCGAGGTTTTTTCAGAAATGTCATACATTTAGTTCCCTTGACAAATTTGAACAATGCAAGACAAAAAACATTTGCAGAAGTATAAAATGAGCTCACTTTATTTCACTACCTTTCATCAGCTACAAATAGCCTACAGTTGAAATGAAGTGTTAGTACTAACAATAACATAACATACTGTAAATATGTAGAAATAAGTGGAGATTTGAAAATGAGGATTAACAGTAAGGTAGGTAGTGAGTGAAGCAAACAGAATTAACAGTAACAAATCTTGGTTAGAATCAATGGTTATTTATATCTGATGAGATAGAAAATTATGGAGCTGTAGAGTGGTGGTGGTGGGGGATAGATAACAAAAGAAAATTGGTGTAGAAGAAGGGACTGTTTAAGAGCTGATAGATTACGTAATTGCACGGAAAACCGGAAAATCGTTAAGTGATTAACAGCCAGTAAGTAATTACTGAAGAGATCATACACTGAAAAGAAAATGCAAGACTATATACACAAATGCAAAAATTGTATACGGCTACCGAGGTAAAGTAAGGTTAATTTCAGTCTCTTTCTGAGTATAAAGGTCAGGTTGAAAATATTTGATGACAACAGCTTCTGCAAACCGTAATAAACATGGTGTTGTTTGTTTGTTGATTATCCTGAAAGATTGAGAAACATCTATTTCATGTCCTGTTTCCATCAGATGCCTGGTGATTGCGCTTTTAAAGACCTTGCTACCATTCAAACACAGATTTTTCGGAATAAGCTCTTAAAACCGAGTAGACGCCCTTCTTTCAGTTCGTCCTATGTACTTGCTTCTACATGCACAGGTGAATTGATATACGCAGTTGGAGGTGACGTGGGGTGGTTATTTGTCTACTTTCGACTGTGTTATTCAGCATAATGTATTCTAAAGTGAGATCAGTCTGTGAGCAAGGAAGCTCCTTTTCAGTGCAGCTTTTATTCTTCTATCTATTCTTTCAGATGTCTCATCACCTTTGAGTGCTAGGCGAAGGTAGACAGGCTTCTTTTCAACAGTTGAATGTTTGGTTTGGTTTGTTTCCATGCTTCATGATGAACTTCTTCGTATATCCATTCTGAATTCCTCTTCTTGTTTATCTTTTGAGGACACAGTTTTTATCGTAATGAATAGCGCCCTCACTAAACCACGCTTATAGCTGACAGGACAGGGACTGTTGTAGTCAAGATACTGACCATCATTAAATATAAATTCCCATTGATTTTGACCAAGATTTGTTACTGTTAATTCTGTTTGCTTCACTCACTACCTACCTTACTGTTAATCCTCATTTTCAAATCTCCATTTATTTCTACATATTTACAGTATGTTATGTTATTGTTAGTACTAACACTTCATTTCAACTGTAAGCTATTTGTAGCTGATGAAAGGTAGTGAAATAAAATGAGCTCATTTTATACTTCTGCAAATGTTTTTTGTCTTGCATTGTTCATATACCGAGGTTGACAAATTCACTAACTGTTAATCTAGTTCGGATGGTAAATTGTTGGCTTCGTAGCTGATGTAACAGCTTCAAAAAAAATCCTTGCAGTTCACCTAGAATTTTGAGGAGGATCGTTCCAGATAAATTCAAAACCTAGATAACAGCTTTCAAGTTCAGATTATTCCACAGTCTGAGTTTCATTTCAACTTTAATGCACATATCGGTAATCTCTAAATAGTTTCCCTAGCAAAGTTGACTCAGATAATCTAATGAACAGTTATTATTGCATTAGTATTATTGCTTGTATTATATCGTCGTTGATTGGACTGAATTGATCGCTCTCTATTGGCATATGGGCTCCTGTGTGGATGCCTCGACATTACCTGTGTTTTTATTCTAGTAATTATGGATAGTAGCTAGCAGTGGAATCCAGGATGCCCATTTCGTCCAATTTGGGACTCGTTAGCTGGATTCCACTGTTAGCCACCATCCATCATAACTAGGATTAAAACACAGGTAATATCGAGGCGTCCACACAAGAGTCCACATACCGGTAGACAAAGATCAATTCTGTCCAACCAACGACCGTATAATACAAGCAATGATGCTAAAACTATACTCGTCGCACAAGAAGAGGTTATCGTGGCTTGTTGATGTAGTGGATAACGCTCTGGCGTTTGTAGCGATCAGTCCCGAGTTCGAAACCCGGTGGGAACAACATCACTCACTGGAAGGCAGGTATATCCAGCTAAAGAGTCCCACGTAGGATGGAATGCACATACTGGGTCCACTGCTACCCACTATCCATCATTACTAGTTATTATTGCACGCTTATTCACTCTTCTTTTTTGCCAATATGCCTTTTAATTGTTATTTGGGCATCTTTTTGTATGAATTCTGATGTGGGGCTGTGGCTCAGTAGTTCAGGGAGATGACTATCAACCATTTGGTCACGAGTTCGAACCCTGTTCCACCTACCAAGGTTTGGGCAACTAGGTAGGGTTGGGTGTGGCTTATTACCTACTGAGCGGGTGTGCACAAGATGGCTGGGTGCTTTTTAATTGGTTATTTTTGCTGGCATGTCGTTTGGTTGTGGGCGTGTACTTCTGAAGAGGCCCACTCTAGGCCATATCAACTGTCCATTGCTCCCAGGTTTCCAATGGTTTTTCAACTGAGATCAGTGTGTGTTGAATACCGTCTTGGGAAATTTTTGTATGAATTATACAAGTTTGTCTGTATACTGATGATTCTATTGTCGTGAATGACAGTGAACACTTCACGATTTAGTCATCGAGCTCGGAGAACGTAACACCACTGAAATTCAAATTTTGTACCAGTAATTTACTATTCAACAATATAAATAGTAAGAACTTGCTTACACTGGATCCAGAAGTTCTACTCCCTGCTGAAACCGTGTTGATGCTGTTGTTATTGACTGGCTGAAAATAGTAGTCAAGTGGGAGGAAATCACAACGTCGACTGTATAGTATGTAAACCTTTGCAAATTGTTTGTCTACTTAGTTCGGTTGCTTGTTTAGATTTTACTTTGTCTAACGCGTTTCCATTGATTGTTATGTGTATAGCATTGATTCTTTTGTCAATTCTCTGTTCTTGTTATTGTTCTATCAGCATTATCATGAAGAATTGATCCAGAAACAGTTTATGCAATTGGATCAACACAGGGATCAACTGAAACACTATAAAGAAACAACTGCTAATTTACAAAGTTATATTTTACAGTTACAAGTTGAATTGTAAGTTTTTTTTATATTAACCTACCTGTGTAAAATAATCTTCGTTGATAGACTAGCGTTTAGGGATTTCGTAGAGAAGGATAAGGGTTCAAAAGTCGTTGACTTGGGTTCGATAATAACCATGTGGGCTTTGCTTCAGTTTTGAGTAGTACCACTTATGTGTGAATAAACCATATTTACTAGTTATGAGACTACTAGTAGTCATGTTTGAATTACTATACAATTTGTGTTGAGTGATGATTGAAGATGAAATGAGAACTTGGACTGTTGGGGGATTCGAACTAGCGATCACCGAGTTTCCAACCCAGTGTTCTACCAACTGAGCTACGAGGTCCGGTTTTCATTTCACTTCAATCATCAGTCAGACCCTGTAGCTTGGTTGGTACAACACCAGATGGGAAACCTGGTGGTGGTATCAGTAACTGTCTAGATATCTATTATTTGTATGCTTCATATCCTAGTTAACACAGACTAAAGAATCCACCATAATTGGTTTAATGTTTTATACATGAAAAAGTTTATGCATATTAGTCAAAACCTGATGAAAGCTAATCGAAAACAGTATTATTCGCTTATATGTCTTCTTCTAATACTATGACCGTCAAAGGTGCATAACTCAAATACTCTCTGGTCGAAGTGATTGAATTTCAAGGTATTCATGCTTTACTTTAGTGATTCATTTTATCTCTTCTCCAGTAAAGTCACATTTTTAATCGTTGTTCTTGTCGTTTTTTTCCTCTTTTTCCTAACAATGATCTCAAAGAACACTTATTCATGAACAATATGAACAAGAATTAAAACGTTTAGGTGTTAGAGAACCACAGTTAACCGCTCCAACATTTCATAATATTTCAAGTCGGTCTCACCAAATGACTTACCCTAGCATCAGTAATCCAAGGGCTAAATTTACGCCATATCTAAATACCTTATCAAACAGTATTAATAATCCTTGTATGAGTAGTGCTAGTACCAGTCAACTGCCGTCAATTTTATCAGTAGATCAAGGTGTAGACGCTCTTAGTTTAGAGTACTCTTCAAATCCTTATGATGGTAGTAGTTATCAATCATCAACTGTTGGCTATGATCCCGGTGAATCAAAACGTTATCGTTCAGTTCGATTTTCTGGATCAAATTCAAAAGTTGATCAAGAAATAGGCGTACTGTATTCATCTGATAGAAAAATTGATTCAAAACGTCTACCATTACCTATACGAGCTCGTTCTTCTTCTCCAGCTAGTAGTAACAGTCTGTACAGTACAATAAGTGAGTTCTCTAGTAAACAAGATCATATGAAACCAAAGAGTTCATTGAAGTCAAGTACTCTCATTCGAAATCGTCAAAAACTCGAGGTAAGCTTCCAGTTCACATTTTGTCTATTGAAAAAAATTCTTTTCTTTCCTCAATTATACATCTTTTGAGACCAGTATTCATTATACTTTTAAAATTGTCTTTATGTATGTTGAATGTGTAGAAAAAAGTTTTTAGAGAACCGTCAACTTCAAACTTTATTCAATAACTCAACAATTGGAGGTACATCGGAAACCTGAGACCAATGAACAGCTGTTTCGTTCTAGTATGGGACTCCCCAGCAGTGCGCACCCATGACTCCATCCCACTGAGGATCGAACCCAGGACCTTCAGGTTCCGTGGCCAGCACGTTACCATTGAGCCACTGGGTCGGAATCCAATGTTCCATATTTCCTACTTCTATCAGTTCACGATAGAGCGCGACTTACATCCAATGTCGTCGTTGATTAACTGTTCTCATGTTTGACTTGGTTGACTCCACTAGTTATGACTTCTCATTGTAACTTCAGGAATCACCTCTCGAAGTTAGTCATCAATGAGCGCTAGATTAGTTCTGTCTGGAAGTTTGATTTTAGGTCAGAATTCATCATGGACTGACATCAGTTGGAAGAACATTGGAATCCGGGAGCACTGGTGAGGTCTTCGGCGCTCACTGCCGAGGAGTTCCATACTAGTTGGACGAAACAGTTGTCCAGTGCTTCGAGGTTTCCAATACTCCTCCAACTGATATCACTCAATGATGGATTCCAACCTAAAAGTATTTCTGTTGACTGTGTTAAGTGACGTAAATTTGAATCTTGGAGTTGATACAACTTACTTTATGTTTGTAAAATCGACTCGCCTTGGTCATCACTGTCAAGAAAAGCAAAAATTGTACACATTACCTCTTCTCAATGACCGTACCAAATTTTAACGTCATCTAAAGAGAATCGTATTATGTATTAAAAGTTTCGTGTAAAATAGTTGAGATGCATTTGAACTGATCACCAGTGTGCTTCTGATAGTGGAGCTATGGGTCATTGGTTTAGAGAGATGACTTTCCCCGACCGATAGCTGCTACCTTGACATGATGGTCAAGCTTGTATATCACTATGAATCTACCAGCTTTACTCGTGGAACGCATGCTCCCTCGAAGTCCTACCATGCCACGAACGTCTGTTCGATTGTGGTTATCGAAAAAGCAGTTACCGTTATAGTGCAACTTGCTACACTGTGACAGGAGTTTGAGAGTGAAGTTGCACTGCTGACTGGACGGAGATATGACAGGAGTAAGGTGTTTCCCTTGAATGACCAGCAGTGTTACGCTGATACTGCCTTCCCTATGGGAAAGGAGTACAGGGTTGGAAAGGGCCGGCCACCAAAATAGCACACTCCTACCTTTCGTGACATTCCGTTGCCTGCAACAGAGATTCATAGTCGTAATCGAAAGCAAACAACCAAAATCTCAAACCTGCCAAAATGCCATATGTGACCGGCTTCAAGCAGATATCACTTGGTCTTAAGAACTCAAGAACAACCAGCCTTTCATGGTGTTGGCAGCCTGGAATTGTCAACCACTCCCACACTTCCAAAATGACTTTCAATCCGTGGGTCGCCGGTTCGAACACCACTTCACCTACCGAGGTTTGAAGAGTTAAGTAGCATCAGTAACAATCACACGATAGGTAGGGCTCATTGCCTCCTGCATGAATGTACACAAGGTTGCTGAGTACATTTCCACTTTCGGGTTACAGATACAATAACTGTCTAATCCTAAGCGGTCAGGGCTTACCGAGGTCTCTTGACCAAATTTTGCAGCTGGGTGACGTGATACCGTGGTGCACTGTACTTCGGCGCTGGATTTGGAGAGTAGATTGCTAGGAAGCCCTGAAATAGAAAAATTTCATACTTGTCAGCTCTCACCAGAAAGACGCATCTGAAACTAGTGTTCCCTTGGTGATTGAAATCTGTGCCACTCACATAATCCAGTCCTACAGGTGAGTAGTTGTGATCCGAATAGCTTAGTGAATAAGTTTCTGACCTCACTACTAAATCATGGAAGTCCGAATCACTCAGGAAACACCAGTTTCTCCATGGTTTCGCAGATGCCTATCTGATGAACGCCAGCAAGTGTGAAACCCAGATAAATTAGAGCTTCTAGTCGATTAACTCTCGATATCTAACGCCAAAATAGATGTTTTTTTTCACTTCATGCTTTGCGTCGGATTATCATTGAATGTATACATGCAGTCAGTTAGGCAGTGGCTTAGTCTTTTCAGTATTTATTCATTTAGGCTTTTAGAACAGTCACCATTCAATCAAAATGAATCTATAACCAGTTAAATCAAACAACCGTTGCCTTGGTAGCGTTAGCTGTGTGTCATAGTATCACTAAGTAAGTAGTGCAGAAGGCAAGTGTAGAGTTGTAGGATGTAGGTGAAAGTCAGTTGATACGCTTATGAACCTTCATTTACTCAGATGGCTAGGACATGTATTACTCATGACTGGTCACTATTCGCCTCATCGCACAATGTCAGCTAAAGTAGGTTTTGACTAGAAAAAGGTTAGGGGCGGCCAGACTAAAATATGGCATCGCTGCATAAAGTCTTTGATTGTTGGTTTGAGTTGTTTAGGGCATTGTAGACTAGTCAGTCGGGGTCTATGAGATAAGAGAAACCAGTGGTTGGAGACTCTAGGTGGCGCAGATGTTACGACACATTATCTTAATCCTAGTCGTTATACTGAATTCATCATTTCCTTATTTCTTCTTCCTCGCTTTTATTGCTTTCTACCGCTTTTAGCTTTTTTCTTATGGAATGCGGCAACTTGAACCATGATTCAGTAATACTTGATCTTATATTGATATTGCTAATGATGATGTTGGATAAAAATACTCTCTGATGACATTGGGTCTTGGTTTTATTATATTACGAGCTGATAGAAGTATGAAAATATCCACGACGTGAGACCTGATTTTCCCAGATCCCATCCCTCATTGAATCTCCTGGCGAAACATTTGTCTAGTGCTTATGGTTTTTTATTGGTTCGCTGACTAGTTTTGATCTGTGATGAAACCTGTCTTAAAATGTACCTGAAGCAACAGGTTATATTTTAAAATTCCAGTAATTTTTTACAAGGGAACTTGACAAAAACTGCGGGTAGTTTAACAGTCTGATTTAGACAGTGTAATGAGAAGGCGAAGGTTATCTGAAATATGTGATGTATTAGCGATATACATTTCGAACAATCTGATCACACATGGACCCTTGTGAAACTATTTATATGAAAATTTACGAAAAGGGTCAATGAATAGGAAGGGCAGACAAAAAAATAAAATCACATCACTCTTGGTATAAAAATTGAAATCAATACTACCAAGGTAGGTTCAACGTGACTACAAATTGTTTTTGTGAACAAGAGACGAACAACCAGCTACCGTTTTTAGACATATTGCTCAATCGATGGGAGGTTGGCTCGATCAAGAAGTCGATTTATAGAAAGACTACATGGACCGGGGAATATCTTGATTTCCATAGCTATTGCCCAGTTGAATATAAACGCGGTTTATTCAACAGGATAAACTGCATCTGTACCAATGACACCAAGAAGGAAGAAACTAACTTACTGACGACAACATTGATATAGGTTGGCTACCCGTTGACATTTATCGACAGGTGCAAAAGTTATGTATCATTGAAAAGTACACAGTGTTCCGTTGTTAAGACAGATGTCTACATCTCTTTATCATTTAGAGGTGATTCATATAGTTTTGTTGTGAGGAAAAGACTTAGATCAGCCATCTGTAGAACATTACTGCACTCAGCAGAAAGAACAAGATGCGGATTTCCAACACTAATGTCAGTCAAGTCAGTCCTTCTTTGTAATGGTTCAGAGACCTGGCGCGTTACGAAAAGTATTTCCAACAAACTACAGACATTCATCAACAGCTGCCATCTACGCTCACTCGATACTGAAGATCGGGCAGTCAGAAAGAATGAGCGACAACGAACTCTGGCTGTTAACAAGCCAACCGTGAACCCATCGCTGAACAAATATGCAGAAGAAAGTGGAGATGGATTGAGCATACGCTGAGAAGACGGTTTGGGGACATCACATGTCAGGCTTGACCCTGGAGTGTAACCCGCATGGGAAACGACGAGTTGGGCATCCGAAACGAGGGTGACATGAAGGAGATGGTGTGAGGAAGAAATAAAAGCTTCTGGACTGGCAGTCGTGGAGTCAGGTTGAAAAGACTGCAGAGGAGAGAATGAAATGGTGACGTGCGACTGACCCCTTATGTTCCACTAAGAACCCAATGGACAAATAATGATCTGTAAGACGTATTGCGTAGCCAAGGTCATCATTGTAGAGGAGACAAGGTCCATGTTACAGCACAAACCAAAACAACATATAAACAATTACATCACATTCCACGGTGTTTATCAACTTACATGTATGTGTGGACACATATACATAGGGAAGATTATTATTGGAGGGAATAGACATAAAAACAGCCTATAAAGTATTACATAAAAATGATCAGAACCGATTGCTTAAATTTATTAAAACTCTTGTCATCCGTATACACAAATAGTATGTGTACTCACGTTGAACCTACCTTGGCAGTATCGATTTTAACGTGATTTGGATTTAGTTTTTTTTCCCTCTGACCTTCTTATTCCTGTGTTTCCTATTAACTTCATTGACCCTTTTCGTAAATTTTCAAATGAATAGTAATGATAGATAGTGGCTAGCAGTGGAATCCAGGTATTAATATAAGCAATTCTATTATTTCGTAAAATTGTTTGTATTATACCGTTGTTGATTTGACCGAATTGATCGGTCTCTATTGGCATATAGACTCCTGTATGAATGCCTCAATATGACCTGTATTCTAATTTTAGTAATTATGGATAGTAGCTAACAGTGGAATCCAGGATGCGCATTTCGTTCCCGGTGGGAATAACATCACTTACTAGGAGGCAGGTACATCCAGCTAACGAGTCCCAAATAGGACGAAATGCCCATCCTGGATTCCATTGCTAGCCACTATCCATCAATTCTACTAATTCATGTAAATAGTTCACCAAGTCTATGTGTGATTAGATTGTTTGAAATGTATAACGCTAATACATCACATATTTCAGATAACCTTCATTTTTCCATTACACTGTTTAAATTTATCAAAGGTACCAGTTATTTTAACTATATACAGTTAGGCTACCAATACTATCGTGTTGTTCATTATACCGAAACAGGTGAACTGAATTTAGACGCGCTCCACTCAGTGAGTGAATGTCACACGCCGAATTTATTAGGCCTCACGACTACTATCATTGTTTATCATAAATATGATCCTCATTTTCATGCAATAATAATTTTCCCCTTAAATCGATCCTTTTTAATTACTCAAAGAGGAGATCCTGTAAATCACTAACACTAAAGAATTTTGATGTAGTGTTTTAATACTTTTTTAACCTGTTGATAAATACATTGATTAGTCACTGGAGGGTGACCAACTTCATTCCGTTCTTGTCCTATGTACTGGCCAAATTCTATTGATTATTTCGCAATGTGGCCACAAAACTAGGCAGTTCAGCATTGCGATACACTTCGATAGATGTTAGTTGGATGGAGGCGATCGACAGAAAGCCCTGGATTTAGATTTAGTGCTTGTTGGTACACGTCAGCAAGGCGTATCTGCAACCCCGATGAAACTGATGTCCCACCTAAGATTCGAACCCACGTCAGGAGATCAGTCACAGTCCGAGTAGTTCAGTGGTAACGTCGCTGACTGCAATACTGGTTGACTCGGGTTCGAATCTCTGGCTGGACATCGGTTTCGCTGAGGTTGCAGGCACGCCTTTCTGATGAGTGCTAACAAGCACGAAACCTAGTTCAAGGGCCTCCTGTTGATTGCCTCCATCCAATTACCATTTGTTTATAAGTGTTTAACCGTCATTCTAACCATAATGTCTCAACAGCTCTCCTAGTTAATCTATATTTCTTTTCATAATTGTATTATAGATCCCTGTGAATGTTCAAACAATACCAGCTGAACGTTTTATCCTGCCTGATAATTCATATTCGAATACATCTTCTCCACCAAGTTCACCTAAAAATCTTGATAATATGACTGTTACTGTCAAACCAAGAAGTCATAACTTATTCTCTTGTTAGTAAGTTACATAGTCTATTATTATTTTAAAAAATTTATATTTTATTCACTTATTTCACTGTAAATGTTTTGTTTTAACTAAATGTGAATGATTACAAGACACTTATAAGGTGGTTTTTCAACCATAATTGAATACTAATTCACTAGTCAATAGGGACTTCATGTTGGATGGTTGGTTCTTTTTTCGTGACTAATCCTTTTACATTAGTTAGCCCTTCAGCAGTTCGTTGTGGAACGGTAAAACTGCGAAAGAACCAGGTTGATCATTTACTGCAAGTTTAGTCACTGATATTTTGAATTGACCAAGTGAATAATAGGAAGAAATATGCAAACGATGTTAACTCGACGAGACACTTGGAGTAGATAAAAAAAAGCAGCTTTTCTCCCTCAGAACCTTATACTCCACTGAGTCACGAAAATCAGAAAGCTACGACTGATTTGTGACTAAGGAAAACACTATTCGGCAAAAGTACAATTTTTATATACAGTTTCCATGATCATATAAATTCACTAGGCCAAAAGTTTGATAGCTTATTCTGATTGGTTAACTGTAGGACGAAATTGTCCAATAAGATTTCTCCTGACCATTCAGGAAAATGGACAAAAATTGACAGACAAAAACCTCTACCTTATTGGCTGATGACTGTCGCTTTCCATTTAGACCGCTTCCTATCACATTTTTTGTCATATCTCGTAATATCGGTATCGCACAACAGCCATTATTCATAGAGAAAGAGGTTTTCTAGTCACCTGAACATTTTGTATAAGTCTTCCTCCACCTTAGATGCTCATGTTTCTCAGTCATCGACTCAGATACTGGGATATGTTTTACACATACCTAATCACTGTCTACTTAGTTGTGCGCAAGATTAGCTTTGAAGTAGGTGTAGGTTAGCAACAGTTTAGAAGTGACTCGATTAAAACATGTCATCTTTTCATGAAGTTGTTATTTGTCGATTTGAGTTGTATAGGGAAGTGTAGACCTCCTGGTTGAGGTTCACGTGATTCTATACCGGTTATCATTATTGTCATTTTATTCGTCATACTGAATTACGTTATTGATTTTCATCCTTTCATGATCTGCTTTTACCACTTTCAACAACTTCGTGTCTCCCCCGCATTTCTAAATCTTTCATCTTCGTGCCTTCTTGGTTGATGTACTGATATGAGATATGAAAACGTGAACCGTTAAGCAGTTATTTCGGGTACGGTATTTGTTGTGACTGACTAACCTGATTCTGATATCTTTGAAATAACACTTCCGTGTTATAAATGCTGATGTTAGACGGTTACTGTTGAGACGGAATTGTAATTTCCATCGTTCAGTGAATATAGTCTTCGTGAAACGGTGAAGAAAACCTTTCTTTAAAAGGTGATGTGGAACAGAACTTTACAAACGCTTGTCATTGTTCATACATATGTGTCAGTGTAATTCTATGTGTTCAAGGCTCTACATTGATTTTGTCTTTCTGGCAATTCTAGACACTAAACATCGGTATATGAATCAACAATTTGATCCTACTGGCTGTTAATCTGCTTAGTTCACTTATATATCATGAAATTTATTACTTTATTATGAGTTGTAATAGAAAGTGATAAAGGAAAAGAAATTGTGATCTCAGTGAATAGTCAACGCGTAAACACTGATTGTATATGCGTGTGTGTGTGGAAGTGATAGTTTAGACAAGTGTAGTTATATTCTGCTATATACATATAGCATCAATTATAGAGCATGTTTATTCGATTTTGATGGTATTGTGTTGTCTGAACTGGATGGTTTAATCGTGAAGCTTTCATTATCATTCTAGACAACAGCATTATCATCATCAACATAGAACCAGGCATCACTGCGTAACGATCCGAGTTACCACACCTCATATCAATACATCAAGTAGAAAGGTAGTGAAGTGGAAGATGAAGATAAGAAAATTCAGTCAAAAGAGATATAAAGTACGAAAAAGAGAAAGGAAGAATGAGAAAATGGTGAGATTCGGTATAGCGTCCTTAAGATGAGGATGGTGTGTGTATACATCTGCGCCACTGACATCTGTTCTGAGTCACATCACCTAGAGTCTCCAACCACTGGTTCCTCTTGTCCCGCGGATCCCAACCGGCTAGTCTACATCGCCCGACATGGCTCAAACCAATAGTCAAAGACTTCATACATTCATGCCATGTTTTAGTCTTGCTACCTCTAGCCTTTTCCCAGCCTGGACAGTAGCCAGTCAGACAACAGTATCAGCACAAATCAACCAACTCACTGAACACAACACCGCTAAAATCATCCTCGAGCTAAAAATATTCATCATGTTTGGTAAACCTTCTTGGTAAAATTATGAGCAATAAATTCTGACTAAAATGTCATCCACTTTGGTGTAATCTATATAATAAAAGTATTATAATCCAGTGATTGTACTCTCTACCACAGTGCTCAAATCCTGCTCTTATATTAAAGATGTAAATTCTAACACATTTGCCGATTGGCAAGATGCTCACCGGTAGACTCTACGGTCTTGAACCTTATCTCATATTGTATCGCAGTATGGAGTAATGCATAGTCAAGAATTACGTTGAAATGATTAGACTATGCTCTTGTTATTGTTTAGTCGTTCTAAAACTGATACCAATATGTTTCTTCTGTATACACTACTGAACGAAGTTTTTATATTTGCTAGTTGTCATTCTAACATACGTGTATCTAGATAGCCTCAAGGATTTCTTAACTGAACTATTTATTTTCTTAGATTAAAGTTAGATCTTGTCAATGATTGAAAATATGCTTAAAATGCACCTTGAATGGAATATTTGGTAGGTATAGAAACGCGCGCACTCAAGGTCATTCACGACCAATCGTGTGCCATTCAATTCAAATTGATCAATGTTAACGTTACTTTAGTGAATGTAATCTGTGATAATCAGTTACGTGTTGTTATAAGGTGGTAACTGAACTTGAAAGGAAACATAATTCATGGCAGGATTATGGTATCAAGCTCAGCTACTATTAACTCTTCAACTGTAATGAGATGTTGGTATGATCTTATTCATCTATTTTGCATACTTCATGTACCAGAATTGTAACATCCTGCTTAGTCATTGTACAAAGTCTTTTATATCATTCCCCCCCCCACCGTTCTCAATTATATCCTATGTGATAAACTTTCCATTTTTATGTAGTGTACCAAAATTGTCAACTAATGACGTAGAAGGTATTATTCGACATGTGGATAGTCTCATGAATCCTCAGATTGCTAATACATCAAAAACAAATTCATCAGTGATAATGACAACAACGAGTATTGTTGACAGTGAGCCTAGCGATATTGGTGATGGTGGTGTAGCTGATCGAAAAAATTATTGCTTCAATCCTGATCTACCTGAATTAGGTATGCATTTTCTATGATATGTTTTTTTTAAAACAAAAGGTTTCATCATTACTAAAAGAAAGTAATTTTAGATTTAGATTTGTTTCACTTAGTTTAAAAGATAAGTAGGAAATTATTAATGCATATTGGTTAGCAGAGGAATCCAGGACGCGCGTTTCGCCCTATTTGGGACTCGTCAGCTGGATGTACCTCCCCCTTCAATGAGTAATATTGTTCCTATTAGAACTCAAACTCGGGAACGATCACTTCAACCTCCAAGATGTTATTCACTACACCACTGAGTCACGATAACCACTTCTTGTAAGACGAGTATGGTTTTAATGTTGTTGCTTTCATGATCCAGCTGATGAGTCCCAAATAGGATGAAACGCACGTCCTGGATTCTAATGCTAACCATTATCCATCATTAATACACAATCGAAACACAAACAATATCAAGGTATCCGCGTAGGAGCCCATATGCTAATAGAAACAGCTTCATTCGGTCCTCTCAACAATGGGATAATACAAGGAACAACATTATAAGTAGAAGTCAATCCATTTTCCCTTCAATGTAATGCTTTTATACATTCAGAACATTTTAAATCAGAAAGTAATTTATTTATTATGACCAGAAGCCGATGTCAAGTAAACAAATTCTTATTACAAAACTATAATGTAATATTTTGTTCTCGATTTAAACTGTATACCTGTTGATATTTAATAACAGTGTAATCCAACTCAGCAGCCCAATATAGATCTATGTCAAACTGTGAGCCGCAACTTATGTTTGAGGAGTCATGATACTACTTAGTTTATCATCCAGATTGAAGTGTGCGTGGAGTAGTAGTAGTAGTAGTAGTAGTAGTAGTAGTAGTAGTAGTAGTAGTAGTAGTAGTAGTAGTAGTAGGGTTCAAAAGTGGGGAGTCATCGCTTTAAAAATGAGAGTATATGTAAGCCAATGTGAGTTACGTCTCGAGTTTTTGTCATTTGCAAATTTCATTGTGTGTTGACAAAGTTAAAAGTTAGCATAAAAATACGAACCAATGATACTGGAGGACATTCACATACACACACCATGACCTTGTGGCTGCCATGGCAACGGATATGATGAATATTGATGCTGATTCAGTTTATTTCCATGTTTCAGCCAGGATTATATCACGAGTCAGCAACTGCTTGGAGAGATTTATGTACTAAAGCATAGGCCCATACCTACTGTGCGACTACCCAGATCCTATTAGGTCAAACTGCTCAGGTTAACTGAAGTTCTGGATTATCGTATGGCAATCAGACATGCTCCCTCCTGACTAGTTTCAATCACTGACTGTCTCAGTCTTCAAAAAAGACGAGAAGTCCTGTTGTGATAACCACAGAGAAATCAGTGTGAACAACGTGTCCAAGTTCTATAATCTTTAGACGGAAAACCTGAGAAGACCTGACCATGGGATGTATTGACCAGAGATTCATCCTCCACCAGGTTCTGGAACACAGACACACTTACCGATCCCGGACACTGGCTATATTTGCGTGCCCGAAGATGTCATTCAATTATATCCATTTAGAGGTCTTATAAAAGTGTCTCTCACTGAAAAAAATTGCCGAGTAAGTACATCACTGTTTTGAAAACCCTGTGCTGGAACACTTGTGGGGTGATAGAACCTATGATGAGTTGTCTGCATCAAGTGATGCCCCTCAAGGATGTCCACTCTCTCCATACCCCTTCAACTTTATCATAAGCGCACTTATGGAGGCCACTCTCTCTTCATCTGACTTCACAGGAGATTGTTTAACAGATCTAGATCTAGTACGCAGATGACAATCCTGTTACATGAAGGCGCACGGTGACAAGACGCAAAGTTTTATGAACACTGAGTAGCAGTTTGAGAATATTTAGGATGTCCTTCTTGTCACACAGATGGAAATTGTTGCTCCACGACTGGTCCTTGCTTAAGAATTGGTTCAAACTGTTGACGACGATTTACTTCACCTATCTGGAAAGGAAGTCGGGTCAGCTCTGGTGCGTTGGTCAGTGACCGACGAAATCTCTGTACGCTTGCGAAAGGCTTGATTAGATTTCACCAATCTACACTACTTTTGGTGCCGCCTTGATATCTGATTGACTATTAGTGGTCAAGTGTACTGCGTTTCAGTTCACTGCTCTACTATATGGATATGAAACGTGGTGGCCAAAGGTAGAAAGCGTGAGAAGAATCCAGGCGTTCGATCACCGTTGTCTTTGTAGTATTGCTCGTGTTCCTTGAAACCAATACATCAGTAATGCAGAAGTCAGGTGTAGAGTGTTAAGGAGGAGAGAAACGTCAGTTGATGAGGTTGTGAACCTTCATTGATTGAGATGGCTGAAGTATATATTACTGAAGCCTAGTACAGTTTTTCCCAACGTGGAATGTTAAGTATAGTTGATTTTGGTTGGAGAAAGGTTAGAGGTAAGCAAATTGCAACACGGTATCAGTTTCTTAAGTTGCTGACTGTTTGGTCTGAGCCATAAAGGAGAATGTAGACTTTTCGATTGTAGTCCGTGGGACTACAAAAACTGTTGACTGGAGACTCTAGGTGATATACATCAGAATCGTTCTTTGTGGAGCAGATGTATCAATGCACACTACCGACTTTCCATCACTTTTGACTTGTTTCTGTTTTATTTCTTCATTGTTCATCTTGTTGTATTCTCATCAAATGTGTGGCAACTTTAACCGCCCTTAGGCTGTAGTACGAGGTCATATGCTTGTGTTGTCCCGAAATTCAACTGATTGCAAACAACTTTGTAAACTATAATTTTCTAAGATTCTGTGGTTTTTTTCTGTCTATGTATAACCCGTGCATATACTAGCTGCCTCGCCATTTTCAGCTCTAAAACTATCGATAGTAGTGACAAGTTTATTTCAGCTAAGCAGTTGTTATAAGTGAGTTTTTTCTTCAGGTAGATAATTCACTTTACATTCCTAAACGGTATTACATTTTCTCCACTTTTTCATCTGTGTTATTCGAATCATATGCCAATGGCTATCATTCCGTATTATTATTACCACTATTATTATTATTATTATTATTATTATTATTATTATTATTATGTATACTTTAGTTTCATATGATTTGTTTCCATATATCTGACAAGTGAATATTTCTAATAGTAAGTTTGATGAAAACACTGATGCTGCATACACACATACAATGAAATATGTTAGGTGAAACATTTCATGTGATGAAAATGTTTCCTAAAAAAACATCAATATACGCAAACTGATATTAGCGGTTACGTTGTTATTGAAAAGAAGATTTTCAACCTTTTACTACTGTATTCATGAACAATAATGGCTGTATCAAGAAGGTAGAAGATTTACTAAAGAGCGAAAATATGTATCAACCATTTACGACTGACCTTATCCAAAAGTTTAACATTCAAGCCAACAGAATCTTGAAGGAGCTCTGATTGAAAGCAGGAGAAATAAACAAACATGACAAATAAGTGGATGAAATCGAATGAATATTTTGTCCGTCTGTTTTACAAAAGACCAAAACTACCCAAACTAGACTTCCCTCTACGATCAATCGCCTCAATTCCGGGAACTGCAATCTACAATCTATCTAAAGAGCTTTTGAGAGGACTGAAGTACCTTATAGAGTCATGTAAACATCCCATCAAATCACTGACATAGTTTGTTGGAAGGTCCAAAAGTATTGACATAGACAACGACGAGTGCATGGTGTTCTATGATATCATAGCATTGTATACATCATCTGAACACCTGACCAGGGGTACTGTCTTTCCTCCTCACTGAAAACAAAAGGCTTTCGGAACGCACAAAACTTCAGTATTCAAGCCTGATGAAACTCATTGATCTTCTGATAACATACTTCCAATTTAATAGTAAGATATACAAATGAAAGGAACTACAATAGGATCACTGATTCCTGGATTAATTGCGTAAGTAGGAATGCCATGCTAATGCTCCCTTCTCTAGGGAAAGCAATGGCTAGAAAAGGTCGGCGCAAAAAATATGACACTCGCCACTGCCTCGTGGTATACTGATGCCGGAGAAATGGGTTCATAGTCGGATTCGCAAACAGCAAAATAAAATCTCGAAACTCAACAAAGACCATGTGTGACAGGCGGGAAACAGATGTCCCATACTAACACTTCTTTTCTATAGTGTGGGTAACCGGGAAGTGTCAACTGCCTTCTGTCAGCACTCAAGTTCCCTCAGATCATTATCCACCTTCCATATTCTTAGCTTCGAATCTCCCTTTACGTGTCTCGGTCGATAATCAATCCTACATCATTTTTTATTTGTCTGACGTGGTGTCCACTGATCTCAACTCAGCGGTGGACACATATTTCTTGCTGAGTTATAGATAGATAGGGTCGGAGAAAGGTTGCCGATCCTTCTAGAACACGTGTTTGAACGTTGATCACGTATCAGCTTGAACACGTGTGTCTACGCTTAAGTTGATGTAGAAAAACTGCTGCAGCAGGACCATTATGAGTGTTGCTTGACGGTGAGAATAATAAGGCCACTTTCTACGTGAAATTGGCTCATCAGTTACCAGTAGGGGGACAATATCACATCATGGAAGAGACTGGTTACACATCATTTTATCGTTTTCTGGGTGGCTAGCAGTGTAATCCAGGACTCGTTAGCTGGATACCCCTGCACCCAGTGAGTGATTTCGTTCCCACTGAGACTCGTAACAAGTACACACCTGTTTTAACGCCAAAGCGTTACTCATTGGGGCACACGAGCCACCATTTGTGCAACGGGGACTACAATATAATAAATATCCAGGCAGCATCAAGGTATCCACATAGGAGCCCGTCCATTAACAGAGGTCGAGCAATTCAACCGAGTATAACAACCGGAAAATTACAAGTATCAATAAACAACAGCTGTTCAATACTTTCTGACTTTCAGTGCCCCTCTGATTGATATCGATCTATAATAACCACTGTGAAATCAAGTAGTTCCCACACAGATCCATAAATTAAATATGCTTTCTCACTGTATTATTTATAGTGGATTGATCCATTAAATTCTGATTGGATTCTATTAGATGATGTCGTTAACTTGTTGCACTTTTACTGACATATTCGTCGTCATCATCATCATGATCATCATTCGTGTAAAAATTTCTCTAACGATTACTGTAATAGTCTAAAGAAAGAAAGATAAAGCAAAGTACATATTAGTCGAATATCATACTTAATTTACAAGAAACGTCAGTAAATTTTTGTTTAGGAACTTTGATATGCTTTCTTGCTATTCGTTATTTATTGTTTGTTGTGTGATAATCAATTAACTGTTCGTTTTGTTCTAACCTAAAAGATTTTTGTATTTTTGAGATGAATAAAAATTTTTAATTGAGAAGTAGTATTCATCATGGACAACCTCGCCCGGTTAACTAGTTTACTAGTTACTAGCCGGTCCTAAGCCCGGGTAAAGAGGGAAGGTTGGGCATAGGGCTAGCAACCCTACCCCGTAAAACAAATCTAACCGCTAAAGAAACTTCAAAGCACAAACAAAATATAAAAAATGAAAACAAACTTATTCCCCGCTGGAATCGGAGAGGCGAAATGACGCCAGTTGGTGAAAGCCTGCCTTCGGGAAGCCAATTGCCAGGCCGATGTGTCTTCTCTCGATGAAAGCGAAAGTAAACGTGGGGACATGGAATGTCCGCACGATGTTTGAACCCAGTAAGGCAGCCCAGATTGCAAAGGAGATGAGAAGGTATAACATCGAAGTGCTTGGGATTTGCGAAAGCAGATGGAATGGGAGTGGACTCTCCAAACTGTCAACTGGAGAATCAATAATCTACTCCGATATTGTCACCCAGACGCCAACCACGAGCACACTGAGGGAGTGGCTATCATGATGTCCTCAAGAGCATCGAAGGCTCTCATGCAGTGGGAACCAATCTCCTCCAGGATCATGACAGCAAGATTCAACTCAAAAGGAAGAAAGGTCACAATCATACAATGTTATGCACCTACAAATAATGCAGAGCAAGAGAAAAAGGAGGAATTCTACAGACAACTTCAATCAACACTGGACAAGACGTCAGTTGGCGATATCAAAATTCTAATGGGCGACATGAATGCCAAACTGGGAGGGGACAACACGGGAAGAGAACTAACCATGGGTCGAGAGGCGCTAGGTGAAATGAATGAGAATGGAGAATTGTTTGCAGAATTCTGTGCATTCAACGATTTGGTGATTGGAGGCAGTGTGTTCAGGCACAAGGATATCCACAAAGCGACATGGACTTCACCAGATGGACACACTAAAAATCAAATCGACTTTATCTCAATCTCAAGAAAATGGAGACGCAGTCTACTTAACACAAGGTCAAGAAGAGGAGCAGATGTAGGTTCACACCACTCACTATCTAGTGCAAGGAACCTTCCAAATCAAGTTAAAAGCCTTCAAGGAAGCTGGTGATAGACCTCAATTCAAGTACAACACTCGGAAACTGAAGGATGAAACTACAAAGGAGATCTTCACGAGCCAGCCATCAAGACAAAATGGGAGACATCGAGCAACATCCCTGAAGAAACCTGTGTGGAAGAACACTGGAAGTCTTTGAAAGCTATGTGGAAAGAAACCTGCACAACAGTATTAGGAAGGAAGAAGAAAGAGGACAAGGAATGGATCTCGACGGATACCTGGAAGCTGATAGAGGAGAGGAGGATGGTGAAGCAGAAGATAAACCAGTGCAAGGATGCTCAACGACAAGAGGAACTGAGCACAATGTATAAAACACTGGATAAAGAAGTGAAGAAGAGTGCACGCAAAGACAAAAGACACTTCTACGAAACACTGGCAAGTGAAGCAGAACAGGCTGCAGGTAAGAGAGACCTGACGACATTGTATCAAATAACCAGGTTGCTATCAGGGAAGAGACCAACACAGATGAAACCAATAAAAGATGAAGAAGGAAATTTAATTACAAAAGAAGAGAAACAGAGGAAACGATGGGCCGACCACTTCAAGAAGCTCTTGAATCGACCACCACCTGCACTTCGTCCAGAAATACCACCTGCAGCCGCTGAATTACAAGTGAACATTAATCCCCCAACGAAAATGGAAGTCCTGAACGCCATAAAGCTACTGAAATGCGGGAAAGCAGCAGGACCAGATGGAATACCGCCAGAAGCACTGAGAACAGATGCAGAGACAACAGCGGACATGCTCACACCACTATTGCAGAAGGTGTGGAGGGAAGAGAAGGTACCTGGTGATTGGAAGAAGGGTTACCTTGTCAAACTGCCGAAGAAGGGAGACCTCAGTGCTTGCAAGAACTGGCGCGGAATCACTCTCCTGTCCACCCCAAGTAAAATATTAAGCCGCATCATCCTGGAGAGGCTTAAAGACGCACTGGATTCAAAACTGCGACCGGAACAGGCAGGCTTCAGGAAGTACAAATCATGTGCAGACCAAATTGCAACGCTTCGTATCATCATAGAACAGAGCATAGAATGGCAATCAGCTCTCTACCTCAACTTCATCGACTTTGAGAAGGCCTTTGACAGCGTCGACCGAGAAGTAATTTGGAAACTGCTTCAATACTACGGAGTACCGCAAACCTTTATCCGCCTCATTCAACAACTATATGAAGATGCCACATGCCAAGTAATCCACAATGGGAAGCTCAGTGATGCCTTTGAAGTGAAGACAGGAGTGAAACAAGGTTGCCTACTATCCCCCATGATATTCCTTATTGTGGTGGACTGGATCATGCAGCAAACAGTAGGCAGCGAGAAGAGGGGGATACACTGGACGACGGAAAAGAACCTAGAAGACTTGGATTTCGCCGATGACTTATGCCTAATGTCACATAAACTTGAAGATCTGCAGGCAAAAACTAACAAGTTGACAGAAGAGGCAGCTAAGACGGGACTTCAGGTGAATATAGAGAAGACAGAAGTGATGAAGATACCGCACCACCACCATCAACAACAACAACAAACTCCAATCACCGTCAACGGGAGAAACTTGAAGGAAGTAACCTCCTTCACTTATCTAGGAAGCACTGTTTCAACTACAGGCGGGACGGACGAGGACGTCAAAGTCAGAATCGGAAAAGCAAGACAGGCGTTCATTAGCCTGAAAACAGTGTGGAGATCTTCTGCACTCAGCATGCGGAACAAGATACGGATTTTCAACACCAACGTCAAGTCAGTGCTCTTGTATGGCTCAGAGACTTGGCGCGTCACGAAAGGTATTTCCAATAAACTACAGACATTCATCAACAACTGCTTACGCTCGCTGCTGAAGATCAGATGGATTGCCAGAAAGAATAAGCAACAAGGAACTCTGGGAACGAACCAACCAAGAACCTATCACGCAACAAATATGCAGGAAGAAGTGGAGATGGATTGGGCATGCACTGAGAAGGCCGACTGAGGACATCACGCGTCAGGCCCTCGAGTGGAATCCCCATGGGAAGCGACGAGTTGGACGTCCGAGGGTGACATGGAGGAGGTCGTGCGAGGAGGAAATGAGAGCTTCTGGGCTGTCGTGGGACCAGGTTCAAAAGATCTCAGAGAACAGAGGTCACTGGAGGCGTGCTACTGAAGCCCTATGTTCCACTAGGAACCCAAGGGACTAATAATAATAATAATAATTCATCATGGACTGACATCATTTGGGGAACTATTGAAAATCTGGGGGCGCTGGACAGCTGTTTCCTCCTAGTATGGGACACCTCAGCAGCACGCACCCACAACCCGGCTAGGGATAGAACTGAGGACCTTCAGGTTTCATGGCAAACGCGTTAACCATTCAGCCACTGGGTCGGTTTCCAGTGATTCACATTGGGTGATAGTCGCGCTATGTCGTAAATTGACAGAAGTTGGAAATTGTGAACCACTGGAAACCGACCCAGTAGATAAATGGTTAACGCGTTCGCCATGAAGCCTGAAGGTCCTCAGTTCTATCCCTAGCCGGGTCGTGGGTGCATGCTGCTGAGGAGTCCCATACTAGGACGAAACAGCTGTCCAGTGCTCCCAGATTTTCAATGGTTCCCCAACTGATGTCAGTCCATAATGAATACTACTTCTAAATTAAAAGATTTTTGTTTAGCAGATCTGTTATTCATTTGTGGAAGCGTATAAGCTGTAAATCGATCACAAAATGTTAGTGGATGTTTTCAGTACTTCGTCTCACATTCACTCCAATAGTCAGTGGGTTAACAGAGGAATCCATTACGCACGTTTCGTCCTATTTGGGACTCGTTAGTTGGGTGTACCTGTAAATTGTCATCTGCATAGGAGCCCACATACCAATAGAGGTTGAACAATTTGATCCAGTAAGACACTGGAGACTTACAAGCATATTAATAAATAGTAATAACTAATAGTCATTGTTTAAGAGGTGGCTGTCGTGTCTCAGTTGCCTAGTGAATAACACCTTGGTGTTTGAAGCGATGGGTACGTGGTCCGAGTCTTAGTAGGAACAGCATCACTCACTGTAGTTGCAGGTACATCTAGCTGACAAGTCCTAAATAGGACGAAATTCGCGTCCTGGATTCCTCTGCTAGCTCACAACCAAACAAATAATATTAAGGCAGTATCGAGGCCTCCGTTAACAGAGGTCGAACATTTCGATGCAGTAAAACAGCGGAGGATTACAAGCCTATGAATAAATATTAAAGACAGATACTGACTAGGATGTCATAGGTCACATAGGTCATCAGAATTTCTCCCATTATTCTTTTATTCATCATTTCAAAATCCATACGAAATCCTTAAGTGTGTGTGTGTGTGTGTGTTTTCTTTCTTGTTCACTAATTAGATTTATTAGATTCTTTAACAACCAGTGAAATTATGGAAACATCATCTGAGTATAATTCACATGAAAGGCTACATTCTACACGAGAGTATTATCAGTTAACTTCAGAAGAAGATTTGAATAGTGGAGAGTCTGTAAATTATAACTTAGTAGAGAAAAAAGATGATACTGTTGATGATAAAGAGGCAAGTATTGAACAGCTGATTATCACTTCAACAAAGGAATCTGATCTCAAGTCTACTACTACTAATGTACTTGATACTGATCAACATGCTGTAGAAGAGGATGTTTAAAGAAGTAATCCCTTCACGCTTTCTTATTCTTCCTGGTTAGGCAATAGAAGTTGATCTTATCCTGCTTACTATTATTGTTATTTTTATTGGATTTATTATTGTAATTTCAAGGTGTTTCCCATTCATCTCTAACCATTTTATTATAACAATACAAGAACGTTTTATTCAGTTTCATATGTGTCTGTGTACATATACCGAAGATTCAGTGTTTATTTTATCAAGCTTTTTCAGAGTTTTATCTCTTCTATCATCATTACTCAGATTATTTATAAGGTTTATTTATTTATTTTCACATGAAAAGTTGGTTAAGATTTGAGTATTTTATTCTTGTTTCATTGAAAAACAAATATTTTCAACAGAATCTTATGAATAAGATATTGCAGGAGATATTGAATTTCTTTTACCCTTTTGATTTTTTTTCTGTTTCTGTAACCACTTTGAATATGATACCTATGCTGACTTCGAAACATTCGTCTGTCTTAAAAAGCATAAATACTACAACTGGATCCATTAAGCTGATAACAATAATTAATTGGAATGTTTTTTTTTTAGCTGCCTAGTTAATTCAACATAGAAGTTCATTGGATGTGCATTGATTTGTGTACTTGGATTATGATGTCAAATCCAAGCGGTAGTAATATGTAAACCCAGTGGAAGTGACTCTTCAAAAGTCTAAGGATTTCTTTACAATAGTAATGAGTTTTACTCCACATGTGGTACTAGAAATATTAGCTTAACTATAGTATAAAGGCAATTTCAAACTATATCGCTTCTGTAGCCAAAGATTCGCCATATTTGAAATGACGATCAAGAATAAAAGATCAAACAAAAAGGTTTGAATTCTAACTAAGAAGAGGAATAACCAATCACAAAGTAGGCATCAATATGAGGAAAAAAGAATGACTTAAGCTTAAGTGAATCAAAAAAACTAATCAGAACGTTGACCAACGAAGGTAAACTGCTGTGTGATAGAAGTTCTCTGAACAGGAATTAATTCGATATTAGTTTAATATCAGCTTCATAATTATTGAGAACCTGAGAGTATTGAACAGTCTTTTCATCCCAGCGTTTCTTGACACTTCGGATTTAGAATATAGTCTCGAACCATCACTTTTTGAGATGAGATAAGATTATCATTCAACCACTGGGCTACATGGAACACTGCGATTCTCAAGCTCATTACCATCCGTGATGAAAGCATCACAGAGATCGATCAATTCTTTACAAATTAACCATTTGAATAAGTAAAATAGGTGAATCATATTCAGCACATAGATAGTTACATCTATCAGAAAAAGGCATAGACTAGATGATGAAATATTTTTTTTCGTATACATAAAATTAATCACCAACTTTTCAGCTCATCTGAAAGAAACCACCCTCAAACCTGTGATTGATGCAAGCATAGTTTATCTCAGGTGTATAGACGATATCTTTGTCATCTGTGACAGTTCTCATGAAGTAGCATGTATGTATACTTCCTATTTTCAATCATAAGCATAATAACAGGAAGTTTACAATAGGATTAGAACAAGATATCAAAATGGAACTTCTTAATTCGAGTGTGAAAAGTAACTATCTTTTTCTGAATCGTGTGTAGCAGTCAATATGTTAGCATCAACTGGTTCCGTTAGATCACTTACAAGACAGGGAAAGTTACTAAGTGTTATGAACCAGTAAAAGTATGAGTAGTTAGTAATCGCTCAAGCTAATCTGTAAACTTCGTTAACTAGGCAATAGTTAGCTAAGCTCTCACTGTAAAATTTGTGATTCATTTGTAGATTGATCATAACACTCTGTCCAAGTTAGCGGAATTCAGTTGATCTGAGGTGAATTTTTTTCGTGTACACAGCGAATAAGCTCAACTGAAAACAGGCGAAATCGCTATCCGTTTTTAAAATCACTGAAATTTGATTAGCGAAATCTCTACAAATCAGCACGAGTAGTTTCTAACTACTCATATTGCTTATTAGGTTATTTCTAACTAATCAACTACTTACCATATATGATTGTATGAATAACGAGTAACGCTATGGTATGACAAGAACTATTTAAATGAATGTAGTTTTTCAATGACTTCTCTGTGAGTTCTACAATTAGAAGTCCATGAATTCATTTAACGATGCAGTAATATAGGAGTGAAACTCGGGCATTAAGTTAGATTGTGATTCTATTTTAGTCTGTTTATTAGAAATGTTATACAGTGAAACTTATTGTCCATATTCATATAACTCCACAACTTTGAGACAGAGTTTATGTAGTCCTACTTTTCTCTCCTTCATTATGATGACAAGGGTTATAGAATTCTCAATATATCTGGGACAGGTGAAGAGTCACTTCTATTTCTGCATGTATTTAGTGTTGATTCGATAACATAGAGATTCGATTATCAATCTCTCTCTGAACCCAACTAAGTTAGATTTCGATACTCTCGGTCTATCCCACCCTACTGTGTAATTACGTGCAGAGCTATAGTCGAGTTTTGAAAATTTGAACCGTGGCCGGATTCAAACCAGTGACTACCGGGTTTCCAGCCCTATGCTCTACCAACTGAGCTACGAGGTCCGACTGCTGACCAGATTTTTATTTCACCTTTTATCTCACCCTCAATCACTACCCAGTATAAATCTTGACTTAGCTAGGTTTTTTTGCTCTGTTACTCTAATCGACCATGGTCTATGCAATAATTTCTAATTCTCAAAATACCTGTTATACACAATATCAAAGTGTGTTAGTAAGATGCCGAACATATAATTGTTGATTGAGGACTATGAGTAATTTTGCTTAATCCTATTTCACTTGAGATTAGTGGGCTTACTTCAAAAACAATTGAAGCGACCTTGTCAGTACCAAAGTAATTGTATGATTTATGATCAAATAATGAAACTGTTATAACTAATACGCCAACGGCTATATATATATTCTGAATAATAGAATATGCACGCTTAGCTGACAGCCAACTTAGTAGGCAAGAGCCACTGGCTGCAACCCCGTTGCGAATAGAGAGAAGATCGAAGCTGGCAGATGCGGGAGTTTATTACACCGACGGTTTAATAATCAATCAATCCAAAACACGTGAATATGTATACACATAAAATATGACCTTGTCCGCAATTGGAGTAAAAGTCAACCAATCAGCGAATTACATTACAGTAGAGGCAGAAATTAAATTACTGTAAATGGTCTGAGAATGCCAAGTTAAAAATGTTCAGATCGATAACAATGTTTTATACAAACTGGAGCCTTACAACAGAAATGGCTAGTATTTACGAGCTACTGAAGTGGATCAGACAAACGTTTCACACCAGTTAATAAGTAGTCAGTTGATATTTTAAAATAATATGCAATACTGTATCAGTTCGAATTGAGTCGAAATGCACTCAGTAACCTTGAACACATTCATGCAGTTAACCACATCTATTATTTGAGGGCTAATGATACTACTTGGCTTTCTGACTGTGGTAGATAGAATGGTGGTTGAAAATCATCTCCCCACTAAACATGATTTGAAAACGGAATATGTCGAGTGTTCACCTAATGACTCTTAACATCGAGTACACCATAAGCAAGAATCTGATTAATCTAATTAATGGTTAAAAGCACTATATATTAGCCTCATTGTCTTTAATTAGTGACTGAGTGTTTCCTTCGGCCCCTCTCACACTCATGTGATGGTCACAATCACGCTGCACATGCCAAAAGTACCCCTCCCGCCCCACCGAATAGAAATCCACAACTGTGATGTGAAGTACATAGGTCAAACTAGCCGGTCGGGGTCAGTCAGAATAGTCGAACATAGAAATTTAGTTTAATATAGAATAAAAGACCTAAATAAGATCAATAATCTAGAAAAACTCTCAACTATTGCATTGCATACATTAACACATAACCATGCACTAGGGTGGGCTGGGCTACAACTGCCTATACTTAAGTCCAACATAATTAGGTGGAGAGAGAGGCACATTGATTACAGAATCTCTGTTCACTGAATCGACACGCAACACATGTAACAGAAATGATCCCACACCTGCACCAGAGATATGGAAATTTTTACTACCAATAAAAAACAAAGAGTATCAGGTGGGTGGTGGGACTATGGAAACCAGATGTCGAAAGTAGTGTGATTACATTGATATGATTATGAGGAATGGTAATTTATGCTTGAAACTTGGTCATCAAGTAGGTAATAATGTATCACTGTATGTTATAAGTCAAATAAACAAATCTAATATGGATGGAACGCTAAGTAGATCAATTCATATAAAACAAATATGGAATGTTCAAGTGACAAACTTTAATAACTGGATCCCTATGAGTCCCAAGCGAAATTTGATCATATCTCCTGCCACCTGCATTAAGCGGATCTGTAGTCCTGATGTGTTAGAAAAGAAAATTTCTGTTCTAAAGAAGATCCTGATTGAAAATAGATTTCCATCATGCATCATAAATAAGAACATCAAGCCTAAACCACGCAAAGAGAACCCTGCTACCAAAAAAGGATGAATCTGTCGCTGACACTCTAAAAAAGAGGATATCAAACGCTTTTAGGAGATTATTTGCATCAACACTGAGACTACTATTCTCTTGTCGTCTAACGATTTCCGACAACTCAAAGGAAAAACGTTCACATCTGTCCACTTCTATAGGGATATACCAATTCATCTGTTCCTGTGTAGCCAGATACATATGTCGTTTGATGAGACTGTTGTCCAAAAGGGTTCAAAGAGGTAACAATGGAGCCACAAGTAGTGCTATATGGTTTTAGAATGAAATGTACACTGAAATATCCTATCTAGAAATAAGAATCATCACAGTCCTAAGATGTAGGGGGTATCTGCAATCTAGAAGGAAGTGACGTCCCTAGGGGGATCCTAAAAAGAATTTCAAAGACTTCAAAAGATATTGAGAGATGGAAGAATAGATCAACGATAGCACTACACCAGATAGAAACAAGACTGATTTTGATGGAATCAATTTTCTACAAAATGGTTTTACTTTAT